TATTCAACATATTTTCAAAACTATTGTTTACCATGTTACCAGCTGCATAAATACTTGAAACTTTGAAAATAATCTTTTTTAATACAACAATTAATGTTCGATGGCCCATTGACTTGAAAAAATATTCTATACACATGAAATTGACAGAGGCGGGGGTACCAGACACTTCCCTAAGTATTAATAACTTCACTAATCTATGCATTGGATGTGTTTTTGTCTTAAAATTAAATTAACCCACATCTGTGTTATATCATGATTTCTGCACAGATTTTTATGCCTATGAAACCTTTGCAGGGTTCCCACTCTTTTAACAAAGCAAAAATTAAGGACCTTAAAACAGTATAATAATTGTTTATCATATTTATGATCTACAATTCACAGTCCTAGTGACAGTTATTTACCTTTCTTAAAAAAAGATGAACCAATGTTGGTTTTTTTTGGGCACTTGAAGAGACCCACAGCTTTCCATGGTGGATTATTTTCAAGATTTATTGACAATCAATAGGCTTTGCTTCAAAAGCAAAATAATTGTCTTTAGAACTCTCAAATAATAGAACAGAAATTAATTTGAAACTTAAACTGAAATGAACTCAACCTGTTTTAAGAGTCAACTAAGATGTCTTTAATTATAATAGAAAAGTGAAGTATATGTTAATTAAAAAACCTTAGGACTTCTAAAACCTTATGAATATTTTTTAAATTTACATAAAATTATAATTATTGTTCTCATAAATAAAATTCCCATTACAAGTACTTAACTTTTAGTATGATACAAATTTTGCATTTTTTAAATATCCAGATTTTGATTTAAATTATAATTAAATCAAACTTCACTTATGAAAAATTATTAGTTTTTATGAAATTAAATTACTTACACAGCTTGAATATGTTAATGAACTAAGATATAATTAATAAATGAAGTTCATATATTATTATTGAATTAGGATCAGAATCCCCCCCCTCTAGTTTGTTGAGTTCACAATTGAAAATTTGCAATTTCTTTCATATATTTAAAATAAAAGAGTAGACAAAGAAATCTGGGGAAAACATTGGAAAATTTATTAGAACAAGTTGTTATATTTCGCTGCTAGAAATACATCACATATTCAGTTGGGGGCTAATCTTGCTAAATATAAAGTTACGCCAACTAATTCTTTCTCACAATTAATAAAAAGCTACTATTAATAAATTTATACGGGTATATATTAAGAAAATTAATACTAAAAAGTTGAATTAAAGTTATGCATAAGTTTTCATAACTATATGTCATGTTATATTAAGCCCTATTCCAATCAAATACAGGTCCTACATCTAAAAGTGTTCCATTACATCATTAGGCTTAATTTAATATTTTTTAAATTCATTGCAATAAATTTTTTAATGAAAATTTTTATAGGATAAAAATATATTTAAGCTTGAGATAATTTTTGGACCAAGATGTTTCATACATTAGTTCTCAGTGTAAAATATGAATAAAATGGTCTAAAACAATTTTTCAAAATTGTCAGCAGATTCCTATGGTCAAAAATTTGGTAATAAATAAATTATTAATTTTTATTATTATTACGACATTTACTAGTAATATTTCTTTATAATTTTTTCCTAATATAATTCTCTATTATTAGGATTTTATATTTTATTTTTATCCCTAATTCAAAGTTTAAAACTATATACAGTGGAACCTGTAAAAGTGATCACCTGAGTAGTGACCATTTGACTTGGTCCCGAGGGTGGTCTATTCAGACAGGTTCCACTGTATTTTATTATAAATTCATCTTATAAATCATCTATCAAAAATGTATAAATTAATATCTTATTTTGTAACATTCTATAAAAAAAACATTGAAATTGGTACGTAACTTAGCCATTTTGAAATTATTACTAAACAGCAAATGAGATATATTTACTTTTATGTGATGAGCTTTATATAGTTATTTCAAACCAAAACTGTTATTAGAAATTAACTTCACATATTACTAAACCATGTTGTAAAAAAAACAGAAAAGTATATTAAGTTGCAATGTTAACCAAACAAAGTGATTAATATTAAAATCTAAGTTTGAATCTTATTCTAATAGACTGTATTGAAAAAAATCGGGGATCTATTGAGTAGTTTTTATGTAATAATCTGTTTGTCCTTCAGAATTAAAATAACGTTTCAATCCTCAAAAAATATTTTTTTTGCAGTGCAACAAAACAAGTTATAAGTAGTTACCAAACACTTAATTTCCTTGTTAGAAGTAAACCATAGATTCTCATTAGGTAGCCTGGAATAAAAAATTTAAAGAAATTTTGAAAATACCTGGCGTTTTCATCAAAAACTCCAGGTTTTCTGTGGACTGGAATTTTTTTAAAAAAGAAACATAGTTTTTTTCAAACCCAGTTTATTCGGAACTTACATTTCAACAAAATTGGGAATTTTAAAATGTTACTGCGTTTTGTAAATTTACTGTAACTTAATACACATTGAAACATCATACAAATTTATCTAATTCTTCAATGTTTTTTAAGGATTAGCTTCAGTTAAAATTTTTGTTTTTTTGTTACTTCTTTTCTTAGGGCTCTAATTCGTTAAAAGCTACCAGTAGAACTAAATATCTCAGACTCTGTAAATTTTAGAAGTCAATGTAGGTCTTAAAACTCCCAAGAAAAAGTGCGATCTCTTTCATATGCAGTATCTCCCTTGCTCACACCCTATTCTTGTAATTTAGAATACTTTACATGCCTCATGGAATATCATTATAGGAAAAAAAAGAAAAGAAAATATTAATGAAAGAACTAATACGTTAATGAAAAAAAGAATTTTTTTCCTCTTCCCCTTTCTAGCCTCTCTAAAATGCTTTACCTAAAGAACTAATACGTTAATGAAAAAAAGAATTTTTTTCCTCTTCCCCTTTCTAGCCTCTCTAAAATGCTTTACCTCAAAGCACGGTCCTTGTGGCAGAATTTTCTCGGGCTTTCTACAACAAAACTCTCTAGCACTAATATCTTTCAGCAAGATACTTTCAATAATAACAAAGATGTAAGTCACTAATTTAAGGTAACAAAAACGCTGTGTTTATAAAACCAAAAAACAATGTATTTTTTTTAAAATTGAATACGCAATATTTTTTGATTATAATATTATGGGCAATGTTCTCGAACTTTGTTGGGGGGGGGGGCAAACTAAATATTTCCATTCTCATTTTGCAGATTACCACCTAACTAAAAAATAATTAAATATCAAATCTTCAGCAGCAGTAATTACGGAAAAACAGATCAATGACAAAATCATGATAAATTGGGACTCTTTTAGAAAGGAGTTACTCAAATGCATGTTTATTTTCAAGTTGTGATATATGGGGCTGTAAAAACTATGTGGAAATCAAACGCAATAACTGTTAAATTTTTTTTTTTTTTTTACAGGATTGCCTCAAAATACGCAATTTGAATTTCCCATATCGCCTGAAATATATCGGGATATCTAAAAGCCACATGAAAGTCAATGTCAATAATTGAGTGCTACAAAAAGTGATTATTTAAATGAGCCATTCAAATTTTATAAGTAAATTTCTGCAGAAAAGCAAACCAAAATCTTTTACTTCCCAAAAAGAAAAATCTTTCTGCAAGAACTATGTAAAGTTCTGTGACAATGTCTCCTCGATTCTGCCAAGGGGAGCATGGCCTTATATTAAGCAATACAAGAACGATTTTTATTTTAAATATTTTTGTAAGACTGAAAAATTGCTTTATCAACCATGATACTAAAATTAAGGACTTAAAAAAAAAAAAAAACAGCCTTGTATCAAAATTAAGTACTTTCAAGGATCCTTACTTTCCAAAATAAAAATTAAGCAGTTTTTAAGGACCATGGGAACCTTGCTCTGGCTTTTTTCTCCCAGGATCCATGGTGTTGGTATTTCAAGAAAAATATGTAAATATAATTTTTTGGATGGAAGGGAAACAAGTTTCACTAGGGAGGAAAACTTTAACACACAAAACAAATATAAAAACCTAGACAACACAAAAGCTAAAATTTGGAAAACAAAAGACAAAAGTTTTGGAATGGCTATTTTCTGATTTTATACACAGAAAAATAACCAAAAATGGCAGAAAAAAAAATCTAATGTCTGTATAGAATACTAAAACATAAAATAAAATAGTGTTATAAAAACTTTTTAATAATTAAATACTAATATTTTTATATTCATTTTCTTAAAAACTGTACATTACTAAACAATGAAAGGCATGGAAAAAATTTCAAATATATAACTAGCCACAAGCAGTTTAATAACTTGTGATAGGTATTCTTTTTAAAATATTTCTAATTAAAATTAGAAATTACGAAAAATTTAACATCCTTATATCAGTGAACAAAAGAAAATCAGCAGTAGTTTAAAAATTCAATTTTATTTGAAAAATATTTAAAATACTTATCGAAGATGGTACATAGCTGAATACTTGCTTTCATTTCTTATAAACGAAGACATGATTGATACATAGCTCCACAGCATTGACTTTTAATTTGTTGAGAATACTTTCGGTAAAAACCAACAAATATTTTTAATAGACATTTTAACTTGGATAAAATATACTGACTTTACCATAGTAACAACACAATATTGTTAACAATGATTTTAGAAAAAAACATTTTTTACAGGCAGATCACGATAGAACCTCCAGACAATTATGATACAAATACATAATTGTTGGCTTAAATATTTCAATAAAAAATTAATAGTTTTGTTTTAAAAAAACCCAGGAATTTAAAAAAATAAAAATATTTTACAAATTAGCCAATGTAAAGACAATAAATAATGTTGTGTAGAAAACAATGATAATTAAATTAGTTACAAATGATTTAAAACTATTGAACAGACAAACAAATTCAACAGACATTTATTAATATAAATTAAAATAGAAAGAGATGACTAGAATAGTGACTAGCAACAAGCAAGACATGTTGACTAGCATCAATTAATATACAAACCAATGATAATATTACGTCTTTAAACCCTCACCTTCTTTTGTTTGAGCATTTGTTATTTGAAGATCAAAGTCCGAGCTTTTTCCGATCCTCTTCTGTTGCATAATTGATTTTTTTAAATCAGCAACTGATATGTATAAGCCATCAAAAATTACTGTATCCTGGCCAATATTGCTCTTGAATCGGTAATGGACAGACATTGTAAATTTCAAGTCTTTGATTCAAATAGTTCTTTATAAATTATATTTTTGAATAATCAAGTCCACAACTTTGGTCTCCTTTGGAAAATAGATTGATAGACGATTAAAACGAAATCCAAAGAGCAAAATCCTCCATCTATCTTCTTGGAAAGGCACAATTCATCCTTGAGGTCTAGAAAATAATATTCAGATATAGAACCTTACAATAAATTTATAAAAATATTGTCAAATAATAACAATATTGAATGACATAACTTACTCTTCAAGGATTAAACAAAAAGTAGGTGTTTAACTTAAACGATTCAAGTGTCTAAGAGCTAATAAAAAAATCCACCTTGTTTAGCTATAATTATTTTTAATATTTTTTTAATTCCAAAAGAGCCAGATTTGAATATCACATTTGCTTTAATGATATAAAAAGAAATTTATTTCAAGCTCAGAATATTGCTATAAGCTTAGAATATTGTTATAAGTTTTGAAGCCTTAGCAAGACAAATGATTCCTTATTTTACTATTTAAAAAGCAGCCAAGAGTTAAGAGCATTCGTTGCTATTCTGCAGTTGAACATAAAGCTGTATTTAGATATATTATACAAAAATTTTATCTTTTTCCAAATTTTAACTACCTAATAAATACAGTAATCAGTAATACTACTCTATGCTTTACCAAGCAAGCAAACTGCTATTTACTGAGGTTGTCTTCAACATTGCATTTTAAGTTAAAGCAGGGGTCTGTTTAGAAGAGATTTGGAAATTTATCATTATTGTTTTGTTAATCTATAAATCGAGGGAAACTAAACATAGTGCGCGCATTCTTATTAATATTAAATATTTTTTTTGGAAATAAAGAATTGAATAATTTATATTTATTCATAAAATTAATTAATAGAATATTATGTGAATAAAAATTAATTCTAATAAAATATTATAAATTTAAGAATTGTTTAAGTTTATTTAATGCATAACACATTAAAAGTGATACATTACTAGGTTGTGTTATTTAAAATATGTCAATTGAAATTATTAAAAATATGAGTGACTTTGTTTCCATTAACTATCCAAAATGAATATTCTGTGTCAGTATAGGCTAAATACCAAATATCTGTAGGTTGAATCTCTAATTTAGCAGCAATTGTTGAGCAGTCATATCTATTTACAATTTAAAAATTTCTTGCAAAGGTTTTCAGCAATTTTTGCAATAACAGGACACTATTTGCATAAATTCACAAAAGCAGGACCCTGGTTGAAAGAATGTGACTTAACGCTTATTTTATATTCACATATTATGAATAGTTCTTTCGCAATTTTACAAAAACAGAACTTTCACAAAATGTCTGGACAGACCCCCAGTTAAAGTTAACTCCTTTAGCTCTCAGACATATTTTTTAGACCTTAAAATGTGAGGCCAATTTCACATTCACGTGGCAGATTTTTTCCGAGCTATCTACGACAAAACCTACTGAGAAATCAATAGCTGCAAAGATAAAATCACTGGCTTAAAAAGTAAATGCTCAAACGCACGATTTGAATTTTCCATATTGTTTAAAATATATTGAGATATTTAAGAATCATGCGAAAAAATATATTAATAACTGTCGAAAATACAATCGAAAAAATTATATTGATTTAAGATACTATCAGATTAAATTAAGAGTATTAAAAGTGATTATCTAAATGCATGGTTCAAATTGTACTGTTACAAATTAATTGTAAATTTCTGTAAGAATATTATAATGTTCTGCGACAATGTCGCAGTGAATCTGCCTCGGGGTTTCACATACGCTGAAGTTCACCTGCCTCATGTAATTCAGCAGAAACAAATTGATAATTTCAAAAGCATTTTATCATATTTACAAAATGAGCTTACACATTAAGGGATATTATATTGTTAGCAAAAAGATAAACACGTGAACAAAACACTCAAGATGACACCAAGACCCATTCAGTGTTTTCACTTCAGGGCGAGAACGCGAGAATCTCGCATATTTTTTCCTTTTTTCGCATTAAAAAATTATTACCGCGAGAAATTCGCGCATTCTATAAATCAATTTCAAAATTCGCGAATTTCTTGTCTATGAAAATAATGTAAACACATTAAACATCGAAATCGATAAATTGAATATTGACATACTAAGCACATGTCAAGATACAGATTATAACAATTATGAAGAGGAAATGCATGATATCTTTTCAAAACTAGATAAATTAAAAATAACCTTAAAAGANTATGTATAAAATGTAACACTGACTCTCAATGTTAAATGTATATACCATAACACAGAATCTTGTCTTATAGTTCATAAACCTTTTGATATAGCTAAGGAATAGATTTTAACATTAATAACAAGGCAGTAATAACTATGGTCTTTGAAGCATTTAGAACTACCACAAGAAACAAGGCTGGAAAACACACCGTACTAGTGTTTAAAGCCCTCTGTACTAAAAGTTCATTTCTCAGTCTCGTATGAAGACCAACCAAATAGCCAGTGGCAAGTAGACCTTAATAACTTAGTAGTAACTTTTTCCTCAAAGTTAATGAGTAAGCGACTGATACGGAAAGGTTCTTTTCCTTTAATAGTCTCTTTTTTTCTTTGATTGAATTATATCTTCTGGCAATACGATATACCTTTAAATAAAATAAGTGAATTGTTAGAGAACTCTATCCACTATCTTTCTACCACATACTGATGAATTCTGAAGGGCGAAAATTTTGAATAAGGACATTGAACATTTTAATGATAACTGTGTTTTCCAGAACCTTTTTCCACTTTTATCACATGCACACTTTTTTCGCTGACTCCCCACCTGGCGAGTGGCTATTTTGAGGTCACATGATAACTGTATTTAAAATTAAGAGTAACTTAGATAAACTGAATTGATTGATTTAAACAAAGATTTAGATTTTCTGTAAATTATAATAGTTTACGCACCAGGGAATATATTATACTTGATTTATTAGAAACATTAATTAGAAATACAGAAAATTCTCAGTATATTTCTTAATTTCTAAATATTTCCTCTAAATGAAGTTTTTTTTTAAATCAAAATTTCCTCCCATTCTTTTTAGGTTAAACACTTCTTGAAATATCTTAAGAATGTAAAGTTTATAGATGTTAAAAATCTTTGATTATAAAAACAAAGAAAAAAAATTATTAAATGCTCACATTTACTTAACTTAAGGAATTATAACCAATAAATACACAAAATGACATGTAATCTTCTTATAATTAAAAAATTTTGCAGAGAGACCAAGGGGCCAAATAGATTTTAAACTTATAATTCTATTTTTTTATAATATATAATAATATGCAGATGTTTGCTTGGGGAAAGGGGTGCTAAAAGTTGTATCTTTCGAGTAAGTTCCTTTCCGTGATATTTTTTTAAAAAAAGTCTTCGCATGCCGCTGCCAAGAATTGGCGATTATTCTGCAGCAGATCATGAGATGGAAATCTATCAGGGTTCCAACTTTTTAAACAAAGCAAAAATTAAGGACTTAAATAGTATGATTGTTTATCATCAAATATACCACCAGTGACAGTGCCAATTATTTACCCTTCTTAAAAAAAAAAACAATTTTATTATAATGTAGATACTGATAGTATTATATCAATTAACAAGGCTTGCCAAAGTGGGACCAAGCAATTTTTGCAAATCGGGGTTGGTTTTTTTTAAAATTAATATTACCAGATTATTAAATGTTAACAAGATTTGTGAAACTAACTTGCAATCCATTTTTAATGATTTCAGATTTCATTGAAATTGAATTGAAAAACTAAAGAAATTAAAATTTGTAATTTTTTTCACACATTAAAAAAGAAAGAGTAAATAAAGAAATTTGGGGAAAATATTGAAAAAATTAATAAAACAAAATTTCATATTTCGCTGCTACACATACATCACATTCAGCTGTGGGCCAATCATGCTAAATATTCTGTTATGCCAAAAAGTTTGTCTCTCTAAAATGGCCCTCCCTCAATGCAAGGTTTAATTCAGGTGATAAGATAATGACTTTTTTAAAAATATTTTTGGTAAAACTGAAAAAATTGTTCCTATCAACTATAGTGATGCTGAGAAAACCTTGTAACAAAATTGAGTACTTTTAAGGGCCCTTATTTTCCAAAATAAAAATTAAGCAGTTTTTAATAACCGTCTATCCACCAAAAACCCTCATTTGTGCAATTGGCAACTACTTAACTTTATCTACAAAATTTGCCTATATTGTGACAATAAAAGAATTAAAAATCAAAATTCAGATTGATAATAAGTAACAATTCATAGTTATTACCTGTAACATAAACTGAATAGTTAAAATAGAGCAAACATTATCACCTTTAAAGTCTTAAGAGTGCCATGTTTTTATGAAAATCTATTAAAACTTTCAATAAGTTTCAATATTTTTTTTTAACATTAAATATATAATAAATTATGATTATAATTGAATATAATGCAAGCATTATGTTTTACTATCCAACAAAAATAAACATGTCCCAGGTTTTGACAGTTTATGACATGCAATATCAAAACCACGAGATGATGTCAAACATTAATGTAAATAATACGTTGAATTATGATAACTTTACACACACTAACAATCGGTCATACATAAAATAACTCATTAATCATATAAAGTAGTTATGATAAAACTAATCAAAATCCAACATCAATAATACACTAATTCCATTTGTAATACAGATGTTTGATTAGTATGTACAGAAGCACATTGGAAACTTATTGTTAGAGTGAATTTATAATCATTATATTATTTTCCAGGGTTGGCTCAGCACTTCCAACAATGTTTGGATACTCTGATCTTGTACAAACCTTGGATAAATTTTTATAAGTTAAACCATGTTTTTTTAATGTATCAATAACCAATATATATAACTTAATAATTGGGGGGATGTAAAAATTAAACAAAAGCTTATTTACTTACAGCTTAAACAGCAAAGTAACACTTAATCATTAAAAACCCCTCAGAAATATGACTATTAGCACAAAATGGTATTAAAGTAAGGAATATATTCTTAACATCGGTATATTTCACTCAATTTACAAGGTAAACAACCTTTATCAAGGTTATATTACTGACTTTACAACATTTCTGAAGAAACAATGCAATGCTAATAACTCTACAAAATAATCAATCATGCGAGAATTTGGCGCCATGTACCTAGATTTACAATATCCAAAATTTTCAACAACAAGCTCAACAAGAAAATCAAAGTACTTAGAATTTCCGTATGAAAAATTTTTATAGAAAAATAAATTAACAAGTAGTAAAAATAAGTAATTACCATTAAGATTTCAACGAAACCGTTATAAGAGGAAAATCAAAACAAACAATACGTATATTAACTATTCTAATCTGTAAATTAATACAGATAAATAGGTCAAATTCTCACCTATAAAAAAGAAAAGGAAAAATTCGTGTTTTCAAGGAAGAGGGAAAATCTGGTTTGCAGAACATTTAGGCTTAAATGGAGGTCAATACTTTTATTAATTAAATTAACAAATTTAGTTATTTTCATGATAATAAGAGAACTATTAGGAATAGCTTTTCAAATATGTTATCAATACTAGTTCGATTTTTACTTACCCGATGAAAAATTTCATGAAGATCACGTTATTAAAAATAAGGTCATATTGCAATGATGATGACGCGTGACATCATGAATTCAACGTACCTATCAGTAAAAAAAATCAAAATATAGAATGGCACTTAATCAATATAAAATGAGCTTACACTAAATTTTAAAATGCTTTTGATTTTAATACCTGTAATTAGACAATATTTTTAATTTATTTCAGCAATCTAAAATACGAACAATGAAAACAAATCACCACTCGATTGCAGATTGCAACTAAACAGGAAATGGCTGCAAACGTCACTTTTGAGCTAGGCCAATCAGAACAATCATTTGTTTAATTGCCACCAGCTTTAAAGAAATTATGTTAGTTTACACTTTCAATTTGTTGTATTCTTTAAGATAGGCCTCAAGACAATGTTTTAAAGAATTTGTGGCAGAAGACAGACTTTTGCGATAAAGCATGGTTTTAAGCTGATGAAGTGAAAAAAGTAAATAAAAACAAGACGATCGAGAGGGGATCAGAATTTTAACATATTGCGTATAATAACATTAAGGATAATCAGTTCCATTTATAATTAAGAAACCTTTAAGATAAAAAAAAATTATTTTTTTTTATCTTGAATCTTGGCATTATTATAAATCTTTGTAAAAATTTAACAAATGGTATTCATGAACTTTGAAAGTTTGAAACAACTCCTTTTAGAGACTGCCCAGTCAGCTGATGCAGATAAATGTTTGGAATTGATGAAAACATATAACACATTATCTTCTGAAATGTTTGAAGTTTCAAATAAGAATGGTGATACAATTGTACATCTTGCAGCGAAGTCTGGTTCAACTGCTATTATTAGGTATTATTCATTCATTGCATCTTTATGAGACGACATTAATGAATGCTTGAAATGCGTTTTCCTCAAGAATTTTGATCTATATATGTTTGTAAAGTAAAGCGAAACGCAAATATATCACATAACATCAACTGTACAAACTGTTGAATATTCTCAAGAGAGAGTGGACAACTTACTGACCCTGTTAAGTTAACCACTCCGTAGATTGATCACCTGTCTAAGCTCACCTTAATTATCGAGTATCTAAACGAGCAAAAACAATTATATTTCTCCTTTGTAGATTGAGCACTTGTCTTTGTGAACCATCATAATAAAGTTTTTTTTTTCCGTGTGCAATTATTATTGCCCTGCTAGTGGTCAACTTACACAGGTCTCATTGTACGTACAAATGAATTAATATATGCTTCATTTTTTGCTATTAAAATGAAAATATATATTAACACAGGGTATGAAATTTCAGTTTTGAAGTTACTAGCAAATTTTTGCTTGGCAATATTTTCTCAAAAAATATTATATTTTAAGGAATGTAGTATAAAGGACTTTTTGATGATCATAACAGCAAAGGGAAGTAGAAAAATTAAAGCACATTTATTGCAAAATATTAGTATTTTTTAAAAGTAAGGTTTGAATGATTCCATTATTATCCAAATATTATTAAAATAAGAAAAAAATATCAGAAATGTTCTGATACTATTTACATTTATGTTCATGTACTGTATCTTATTTGTAATATTTAATTTTTTTTAAACAAGTTTTTTTAAATTTTTTTTAAACTTAAAACACTTAGCACAAGTTTTTTTCTACTTGAAACAAATTACTTAAAACAATTTATAGGTCTATTAATTATAAAGTTAGTGATATTAACCAAAAAAATTATTTTTTAATTTTTAAAATGTATTCTTTTACAAATCCCTTTTTATCTCAAACTTAATCTCATCTATTTTTTTAAATTCAAAATTATCAGGCATTTTAAGCATAACAGTTTGATTTACTATCACAAAATTTTAAAAAGTAATTAAAGTGAAGCACTTTCTAATCTACAGTCTTATTAAAAAAAAAAAATAGTATATTCTATGTCTTATAGTAACTGCTACCAAAAACTGTCATTTTAATTGTTTTTCTTTTAAATTTGCTAATTTCTCGTAATAAGAATAAATTTTTTTTCTCTTATTATAATTCGATATTTCTAGCTTGATGTTTATTTAAAAAAAAAAAAATCAGCAACAATCTGTTTTTGTGAAAAATTTTCCCACAAATTTTATTTTTATGTTGAAGTATAATTTTGTCTAAAAGTAATTTTAATAAGTTAAAAAAGTAAAATATTCAATGAAAAACTTATAAAAATTTTATTTTTTTGTTGATTCTTGGAAATTTGCTAATTTTACTTCTCAAATTTTTTAAAGATTCTGATAAAGTTTGGTAGAGTAAAATTCTCCCATATTGGTGCCCTGATTTCCATAAAGAAGAAAAAAAAGTTGAAGCTTTTTATGTTACATATATGTATATATATTATATTATACCAGGGGTCTGTCTAGGTTTTTCTGAAAGGTACCTATTTTGTGAAAATTTAGACATAATTTGTGAAAAATTATATTTAAAAATCCAACACAAAAATATAGCAGGAATATGGATTTATCATTTCTTAAGGAATACAAAAATAAAATTTTAAGAAAAAGTATTTTGTGAAACTACCGTTTTTCCTAAAATTAAATTTGTGAAACTACCGTTTTTCATAAAGTTGAATTTGTGAAGGTACCGCTAAACGGTAGTAAATTCGGTCTGGACAGACCTCTGTATACCCTTTGGTTTGCTCAGCATAAGTTAATCTGGCTTGTAGCTCAAATTTCTGTTCAGGGGCTCTTTGCTAGTAGTGTACATTACGATATATTTTTTAATCAATAACTTTTTGGTTTAGATATTTGATTTATCATCTATGTTTATTAAATATTAGAAAAAATAAACGTAATTAATATCTATAGTTTGATAAGACTTATTATTATTATTTTTTTTAAAATCTTCTTGAAGGCAGAAGACGCTATTTATTACTTTTTAGTCTTTTATTCTTTTAATAATATATTATCTTGTAAAAAAATGTTTTATGCCTTTGTGCTGGTTCAATCAATTGCGATTTTTAAAAAAAAAAATTTAAACTGAGCTAGTAATTATTTTATTTTAATCTATATCAATTAAAAATTTGTTATGTAAGTGTTACTAGTAAGTTTAAGTTATTAATTATTTTTCAAAATTATTAACTTCACTTTTTTATGTAACAATTTTATTCATGTTTGTTTCCAAATAGATGTAAGATGATAATAATGCAAAATTAATTTGGTTAAAAATAATTAATAGCTTATTCATGAATAAAATTTTATGAAACTTTCATGCCTTTAAATTGTTAATATCAGTACGTTTCTAGTTTCTTGATGCCTATGGTGATTTTTATACATTTATTTTGTCCTTACTTTTTCTACTATTTTAAGAAATATTTATGAATTAATTTTAATTACGTTTTATTTTATGCTGAATTACTTTTTACACATTATACATTAAATAAATGTAAGCTTATTTGTAATGCAAATTTTTGTTAATGAGTATAATTTGTCAAACTTTCAGGCTATGTTTTCTCCACTATGGATTAGATATACTAATTCAAAGAAATAAAGATGGGAAAATGCCTCTTCATGTTGCTGCTCATTCTGGACAACTTCAATGTGTAGAATATCTTTTATCACGTAATGTTCCTGTCGATGCTTTAAAAAGATCAGACTGGTATATCTAATATTTTTGATTGAAAAATAAATTTAAAAGGAATAAAATTTCATTTAGAAATATAATTGCTAGATAATGACCTACATTTTTTATGCTTTGTGATATGTAGGTGCTTTGCTTGGGGCTATTTCTGTATCATGATCTTTTGCACCAACTACAATCTACAAGATGCCAAATGGATTTTAAATTTACAAACTATTTTGAATTTTTTTTTGTAAATGTTTGCCCGCAGGTGGATTCGAGTTATACCCTTTGAGTTGGTCCCTTTCTGTGATATTTTTTTCAGTTTCTTACGAGCCACTGCCTGAAAGTTGCCAAGACTTAACGATTATGCCAATGCAGATCACAATATGAAATCTTCCCCATGCCTGTATTCTTGGCTAGTGTGTATTCACAATAGAGAAAATAATTTCTCAATGGTTCAGCTTTAAAACTTTTTAAAGTTTAAATGGTGGTAAGTATCGTTACAACAAAAAATTTTTATTCTTTAATTGAAAAATTTTCAATTAAAGAATAAAATTTTTTTACTGTAATGCATAAAAAAGTTTAATATTTCAATTATTAAGTTTTTTTTAAAGAGTTGTTATAGGTGTCAAGATGCCTTAAAACTGAACGAAAAATTCCCCCATTTTGTTTTAATGATATATAATGGGTATAAATCGTGCACAATTATAGCACTTAATAATAAATAAAAAAAATGGGGGGGGGGAATATAGAAAAAACTGAGAATTTTGAAGTTAGCATGTAACAGTAACATGCAAAATTAAATGTAACATTAGCACCAGCAAATTACTTATATTTTCTAGTTGCTCCAAGCAAGAATATCTTTTTTCTTGAATTGCTATTGGGAAGGTATAGGTGCTATTGAACATGTGGTTTTCTTTTCTCTCACAGAAACTTAATTTGTTCTGACTAGTTGAGTATAGCCTTTTCAATTCTGATAACTTTTCTCTTATAACTTTTTTGCATTATAAAAGATTGAGTGATTGAGAAAAACTAACATGAAATTAAAGATAAAAGAGTCATACCCTCATTAAAAATTTGAGTTATAGTGATATTTAAGTTATTGAAATTATAGTTAAATAAGTGCTTTTGCTAATTTATTTTATTTTGATTCCAGGACTCCATTAATGCTAGCATGTACCAAAGGTGACCTAAATATTGTTAAAGCACTGATTAAATATGAAGCAAATCTTACATATCGAAACAAAGATGGATGGACTGCTTTTCATATTGCTGCTAGGTAAGTTTAATTATTACTCTCTTATTCTGATTTTTAGTATGAAATAAGGAATAAATTGAAATTTTTTTTTGTATTATAGAGAAGGTTGTGTAGATGTTGTTAAATATTTGTTAAAAATTGATAAAATGCTATGGAGGACACAAAGTAAAAATTCTCGAACACCTCTTCATACTGCTGGTTAGTATGACTACTTTTAATTTAATAAAAAGTGTATTGTAAGAATATGTTAAGTGACATTTTTGTAAAAGTGAAATAATCTGCTTCAGTGTGTGCATAAATTTCAAGAGGCTGTAAAATATTTTTTTTTGACGATCAAAACTCTGTTTTAAAACTTAAATATTTTAAGTGACACTTTGAATAATTATCAGTTTTAAAATGTTTGGAGGCATCAAAAAGCTGCTTTCTTTAAAAAAAAAATATTGTTTGAAAAAACTATTATTTACTGATAAATTTATATATAATAAATAATTATATAATAAAAAATAATTATAAATTTAATAAATTTACTAATTAATTTTTAAGTTTTTAAATAAATTGTTTCTTAAAGAAAACCCCCAAATTATTTAAAAACTTTTACAAACTAAATTATTGTTTTATAGATACAGCCAACCATAACATTTCATTAAACATAGAAGTTTGAGTGTTTTTTAATAATTAGCTCTATGAAGCTCTCAAAACATTTTTCTTTCTTCTTACCAATTGAAAAATCTTAAATTAATTACTCATTGCATTTTTCTTCAAATAGTTAATATTTATTTACAAATTAAAGCCATATTTGGCAAGCAAAAAAAAAATTATTTTAGTGTAAAAATCATATTCAGCTGTAAAATGTATTGAGATATTAAAAATTTATATTTAAAATATATTTCTTAATGAAAAGAACATTAAATATAAACTTTGGAATAAATTATTTTAAGTTTATAGTATTATTTTTTGCCTAAGCAAAGAAGTAATTGTAACCATTAAGCTCTTTAAATGTTATCTGTTCTTATCAGTTTAGTAAATTATAAATTAATTTGTTATTGTATTTTTTACAAAATAATCCATACTTCTTTGGAAATTAAAACACTCTTCTATGAACAAAAGGAAAAAGAAGTTGGAAGAAATACATATATTTTTGCATGAATTTGATGTTATTATAATTTTTTATTTCGTGGCCATAGAAAGTAGAATGCTTTTACGTTTAAAAAATTAGCTTTTGCTGTTTTGTTTTAATGCTGTGAAGGTTCCAATTTATGAGATTATTTTATATAAGAATTAATACTGCTTTCATTTTTCATAAAATTAATAATTTTTAGTATCAGCTATTATTTAATCACTGTAGTTAAAGGTTTTATAACTGTTATTAGCCTCCTATTACTGCATCCTGATTTAAGATTGCTATTGATTTTGTTAAATGATTGTTATGAAATCTGATATAATTCATTATATTTCTCATAAAACTAATCCTTCATAAAATAAAAGAAGAAGCACAGACTTCATTTTCTTAAGTTATATAATTTAATGATAATTTTTAAAACATTTTATTTGCAACTAGAAATATTTTTCTTTTTGTTGCTTTTTGTAAAAAAGGGGGGAAAAAGAACTTAAATCAAGCTTAAATCATGCTTTAAATTAAACTAATATTTTTAAATAAGCATAAAACTTATGAAAATTTTTTATTTAGGGGACTTAGTGTCCTATTGCTAATTATACTTAATTGTAGAAAAGCTTACAAATAGTTTTTTAAGCTTCTTATAACTATAGGCAATTTCTTTTTATACTTGTATTTATTATAAAATTAATTTTCCTGTTTAAATGGAGATTTAACATATTTATCGATAGGTCAAATAAAAGTCCATTTTAGTGCCTATTGTAGTTTATTACCCAGAATGAGTAAATAATATTTAAGTAAGTTAGTAGTGAATGTTTTTAAGCTGTACAGTCCACTGCCAAAATTTATAGTATGTTTATGTTTGTTCAAGTTTTAACAGAATTTTAAAAGAAAATTAAATTCAAAATATAGTTATTTTTTAAAAAAAATTTAATTTAGAAAATGCATACACTGTGATCAAAAAGTTCTCATACGACTTTTGAAACACGTTAAAAAATTATATAAGTGTTGATGTAGTCCCAATTTTTTTCAGACAATTTAGTGTAAGGTATATGTTTTTTGATTTTTTTCAATTTCTTTTTTCCAAAAACTTCACAAAATAATAGAAAAAATAGCCAAAATCACTAGCTAATATTTTAATTCAGTTATAGGTAATCAGTCAAAAGACGCATAATATTCTTCATTTAAAATATATTTTGAAAATAATCTTATTTTTATGCATTTATATTTTGAAGCTCTTCATGGTAATATTGAAGTTGTGAGGCTACTTTTGTCTGACACAGACCAACCAATAGATCCTGTTGACTGTTGTGGAATCAGCCCACTTATGGATGCCATTTCTAGTTGTCATAATGAAGTTTTCCAAATTCTTGTGGATAAAGGTGTAAGTTTTAAAATTTTATTTCAGCAAAAATCAAATACCATTGAGTAAATTGAATTTTAATTCTTATACTACTTTAAGGTTTCAGTTGCATACTAGTTTATTGTTCAGTTAAATATTATTTAACATTTAGGTAATTTCTTTTTTGTAACATTTATGCTTACACAGGGCTCATGTGCATCAGGTAAACTTGAAATTGTCAGGGAATTTGATTTTGGCAAAAGAGCCAGGGTATATTGTATTGTTTAGTAGAAGCCATGTATCTAAATCTTGAATCGATTTTTCAATTTCGCACATTTTCTGCACAAAAAAACAAAATAAAGTTTTTAATTGATATTTTACAAACCACATGCATTAGTCTTTTATCCTGTGGTTGATGCATGGTTTAATTTTTTAATACTAGGCAAATACTTCAATTCTCTTGATGCAATTGTTTTTTAAATTGTGCATTATACTAAGCTTTATTTATACTACACTTTATTTATACTAGGCTTGCAGGTGATCAAATTTGGGTCAACATCTAGTATCTTTATGTAAAATTTTGAAGTTGGAATCATCCTCATATCAATAAAGATGTTTGCAAACAAAATTTTTTCTTTTAATTATTTTTCAGACATACTTTCTAAACTTTTTTATTTATTAATTAATAAACACAAAAAGTGAAAAATTAATTGAAGCAATTTCAACTTATCAAATTCATAAGCAAATTTTAATTAAATTAATAACTAAACTAATAGCCATAAAATTAAAATGTTTGCAATTTTTTAATTTTGTTCCCCTAAGTCACCCTGAAAATTAAGAAATAAAAATTAATTTTAAAATTAAATTTTTTCAAGAAAATAACAATGTGAAAAAAGAATAATTGTTGGATAATAACATCGAATTAATCATATTCATAAAGTATTCTCTTACATCATCATTAGGTAGTGGAAGATCAGGTTTTAAAAGGATTGATCAGTATAATTTGTTTTTGGCAAAAGAGCCAGAGTATGTTGTATTATTTTGTAAAACCTTTTAACTAACCATTTATGGTAACAATAATTAGCCATTAAGGTCCAAAGTAAATCACTATGACATCTATTACAACTATTTCCATTAAAATATTACATTTCAATGTGGTTAAATTTTTTTACGTTTATTTGAAATTAAAATGTTGGTTTATTACTATTCAATTAGTAATAATTTAGTTTAAAATTTGATTTTTTCTAAACAATCATAATTCTTCACTCTTTATAATCTTAATCATAAGTAAGGTATATAATCGCTATGTGATTAATCTGACTCTATTTCTATTTAATTGTCAGTACTTTAATTTTTTTTTAAAAATTCTTGTATGAATATTTGTTTCAATTTATAATCTATATACTTGCATATTATATATTGTACTTGTACTTTTGCTAAATGAAATTCTGTTTCTTAAAAAAAACATACTATTTGACTTATTTTTTCACTAAATATATAAAAAAATAGTTTAATTGCACACTGAACCTAAAATTTTATATTTCTAATAAAATATTGCATAGTATAGTGAAAATATGGTCTTGAATTTTACTGACATTCTCTTAGAATAATCATTGAAATTAAATTCTGAAATTGAGTGAAAACTCTAACTACAATATGCTTGTTTTGGAAAGAAAGTAAACATCTAAAATTTATTAATGTATATATATATATATATTTANTTTTGATTTTAATTTCCAGGCATCGGTAAACAAAACTGATCGTCTTGGAAGGAACTTACTTCATCTTGCTGCTGAAGCTGGGAATGTTGAAGTGTGTACTTATCTTATTAATGTCTGTCACCTTAACATAAATTCAAAGTCAATCCATGGTCTTACAGCTTTACATTTTGCTGTCAAAGTAAGTAGTGCACATTTTTGTCTCTGAACATTTTTGCAGGCATGTGACTCGTCCTCTGATCCACAATTTTTTACTTCTTTATTTTTATCTTTTTTTCTCAATTTTTATTATTATTTTAATTATTTTCCAATTTTTTATTATTTTTCTGACAATTTTTCGGCAAAAATTGAATATGTGTTCTAATTGTTGTAATTTCATAGGTTGATAATATTTTCCTGATTGGTGCTTAAATTTGTATTAAAAGTCTGTTAATATACTATATTAAATTTAATCAAATTAATATACATTATAATTTTCATTGCTCAAATATTTTTCAGGTGTTTTATTTCAGGGAAAATGCATTGTATATGTTACTTATTTATTTGTACTATGTAGTTTGGTTGTAGAATTTATTTAGTTTTTACTTTGCTGCTCTAATTGTTTTACATTCTATCTGATTTTACATCTTCTTGAATTCACAAGATTTTAAAATAATTTATTATTATAATAGTTTATTAATATTCATAAGATTTTAAATTCTCTCTTAAATCATTTAATTTTGAATTTTTCACTCATAATTTTGATTTTAATATGCAATTCAGGCATACTCCCATAAATGTGGGCTTTTTATAAAAATAAACCAAAAAAAAAGTTGCCCGTAAAATTACTTTAGTTATTTATCAATTATTTTTGACTTCCTTAAAATTTAGAATTTATTCAAGACAACAAAAGTTTTTTCTTTTCTTTTTCTAATTTATGTAAAAATATTAACAGAAAACATTTACAGAAAACATTTAAAATAATCTTTAAAAAATGTTTAGTGAACAATAGTAGTTTAAAAATTTAATGAGTGTATAATTATATGAAATATGTGCAAGTTGTTCCAAAATTGACTGACAATTTAAGAAGCAATTAAAAAAAAGGAGAAATAAATTTATGGTTTTCAATGTTTTGCTTATAAAACCAGTATTTCTGTAAAAAATATTGCCTAAGTTTATCAGTAGATGGTGTTTATTAAAATTTTTATTATTCTTTTGGATGCTCTGTTTAATGTATTAAAATTATAGAAAAAAATATTTATTTTAATATACTTTTAATTTTATTTTTTTAGGAAAAAAGTATCTTGTGCATTCAGAAGTTACTTGAATTTGAAGCTGATAAAACAATTCAGGATTGCAAAGGAAGGACAGGTATTTCTACTTTTTGTTTACTATATATTATTCTTTTTCTCTTAATTTTTCTATAACTCTTAATTTTTCCATATCTCTTAATTTCTTATTCTATTTCTCTTAATTTTCTATATCTCTTAATTCTATATCTCTTAATTTTTTTAATTGCAATTCTAGGCAAAGCAAAACTGTTGCTTTAAATGACTTTTTATTAAGTTTTAACTGTTTTTAATTATCGCACCAAATCATGAGGTCAAGTTTTAAATTACCCATCAATTTGGTGTTAAAATGAGCTATTTTCATAAATCAAGAAAGACTTCTATTATATATATATATATATATATATATATTTCAGTATATAAGTCTTCTTTTTTGCCCTTAAAATTTATAGAAAATCAGGGGGATGACTTATACATCAGTAATAAAGTTAGACATTTGTTGATCAGTGTATTATTAAATAGATATGAATAACTCTGTAACAATTTCTTCTCCTTTCAAAAATTATTTTTATTATGTTATTAACAATTCATTTTGCATTTTCTCTCATATTTTTGTTACATTTAAAAGAGTTTTTTCGAAATAATATTTAAAATTACATTCAGAAAATTTTTTTTAAACAAAAGTTAAGATAATTTATCCAAGAGTGTTTTAAAAAAATATAACACAATGAAAATTTTTAAAAGATACCATAAAGCTACAAATTTTAGCTGTTGAGTTGCATAATGAAATCGTCTTCAGATCATTTGAAGAATTCAAAATTCTGCACTTTTTAAAAGATTTTACAATAACATTATTTGAGGGCAAATGTATCATATTCAGAGAGAATAGTACAAAATAATTTTAATTCGAGGAAATTTTGTAGTTTTAATTTTTTTAATGTTTTTTAGTTTTAAAAAATTTTAATGTTTTGATTTTTTATTGGTTGATATTTACACCAGGCATACCAAAAGTTTACTAGCACATAATCAAAAATAGGAAGTTGATTTATACATTGGTATCTATTCATATACTTGTCATTTACATGTTTATAAATATGCATAAATATGTCATGTAAATATATATATATATATACTATATACTTGCATATTATATATT